ATGTGATGGAGAAACTAGGTCAAATGGAGGAGTAGGTCTGTATATTAAAGAGGACCTGGTATGCACTGAGCTATTAAACTCAACTAATGAGGTGGTAGAGGTACTTCGAATTAAGGTAGAAAAAATAAACCTAAATACTATTCTAATACTCACACCATAAACTCATTGAAGTGCAAACTAACATAAATAACGGTAGTAGGTCCAAGAGACCCAACAAGCGAGAAGGAATATTCAATCAATTCCACTTCAACAATAAGAGGATCGACTGGGAGAAAGTAAATGTAGACCTTGCAACCATTCAATGGGCAACCCGTTCTCGCACTTTCGTATAGTCAATATTGACTTATTAAATACGTGCATATGTGACATACTAATTTATTGTGAATATTTTAGTTTACCTTGAAAAGCTTCATAGAAAACACCGACCTTACCTAACCTTCTTAGTATGTTAAGATAAGCATCTTATTGCTTCGTAATTACAATTATTACTTAACCTATTACAGGTATAGGTTAAGTAATAATTGTAATTACGAAGCAATAAAATGCTTATCTTAACATACTAAGAAGGTTAGGTAAGGTCGGTGTTTTCTATGAAGCTTTTCAAGGTAAACTAAAATATTCACAAAAAATTAGTATGTCACATATGCACTTATTTAATAAGTCAATATTGACAGTAAGAAAGTGCGAGAACGGGTTGGGAGACGGTCTGTGGGAGACAAAACTCCCACACAGGGAATAGCTCAACTGACAGCTGAAGCTTACAAGGTCTGCTTGAAGCACGTGCCTGTGAGGAGGGGCAGAAAGAGGACCACTCTAGAAAGAGAACGCAGACGACTGTACAGGAGAAGGAAAAAAATAACGGAAATGCTTCGGCAGACACAACTATCACAAGCAAGGAAATTAAGCCTAAGCAGGAAGATCGAAGAAATAGAACAAACGTTGAAGCGATCATACGAGGCTGAGGAAATGGAATTGGAACAGAAAGCTATACAAGAGATAAGGAAAAATCCGAAATATTTTTTCACATACGCAAAATCAAAATAAAAAAACTCGACCAGTATTGGACTGTTAATTACAACTGAAGGTACGTACACAGAGGACAACAAAGAAATTAGTGAAATTCTAAGACGCCAGTATGAGGCTATGTTTAGCACACCAATAAACAACATGAAAGTTGATGACCCAGACAGCTTCTTTATGAATGACATTCAAGCTGCAGATAATATAACGGATATTAACACAAACTCGGAAGACTTTGAAAGAGAAATTGACAATATGCCTATGCACTCAGCTCCTGGGCCTGTCTCATGGAATTCAATATTCATTAAGAAATGTAAAGTATAAGTAGCGAGAGCACTCAGCGTAATATGGAGAAAGAGCCTGGACACAGGGGAGATGCCAGCACCACTAAAATCTGCCGGTATAGCTCCTCTGCACAAGGGGGGGAGTAAAGCTTTGGCAAAACATTATAGACCAGTTGCACTAACATCACACATAATAAAAGTGTTTGAAAGAGTGATTAGGAATAAAATTTCTAGTTTATGGAAAATTATGAAGTACACAACCCAGGACAACACGGACTTAGAGCGGGAAGATCCTGTCTGTCACAGTTACTCAACCACTATGACAAAATCACAGATGCTTTGGAAATAAGCAAAATGCAGATGAAGTATACACAGATTTTACAAAGGCGTTCGACAAATGTGACCATGGAGTAATAGCTCACAAAATGAGGTCAATGGGAATAAGTGGTAAAGTAGGACGCTGGATACTCAATTTCCTGTTGAACAGAACACAAAGAGTAACAGTCAGTCAAATAAAATACATACCTCTGTGCTTGAGTCCAAGCGCAGTTAAAAGCTCTGTACCTCAAAGTACAGTCCCAAAAAATACAAGTCACAGCTTCGTGTCGTCCTTTGCAGATGACACAAAAATCAGGATGAAAATTACTTCTGCTGAAGACATTGAAAAACTTCAAGCAGACATTAACAAAGTTTTTGACTGGGCAACAGAAAATAAATGATGTTTAACAGTGATAAATTCCAGGTACTCAGGTATGGCAAAAATGAGGATCTGAAGCTGAATACAGTGAACAAAACACAATCAAATCTGCCCATAGTAGGAAAACTGCATGTAAAGGATTTGGGAATAATGATGTCTGACGACCTAACGTTTAGGGAACATAACTAAGGAAATATTGCGTCAGCCAGAAAAATGATAGGATGGATTACGAGAACTTTCAAATCCAGGGATCCCATCACAATGGTTGTACTCTTCAAGTCACTTGTGTTGTCCCGTCTTGAGTACTGCTCAGTACTCACTTCACCCTTCAGAGCAGGAGGGATTGCTGAAATAGTGAGAATACAGAGAACATATATGGCACGCATAGACGAGATAAAGCACCTAAATTATTGGGATCTCTCCAAATATACTCGCTAGAAAGAAGACGAGAGAGATATCAAATAATATACACCTGGAAGATACTGGAGGGCCAAGTACCAAATCTACACAGCAAAATAAAAACGTACTGGAGTGAACGATATGGAAGAAAATGCAGAATAGAACCAGTGAAGAGCAGAGGTGCCATAGGCACAATCAGAGAACACTGTATAAACATCAGAGGTCCACGGTTGTTTAACGTCCTCCCAGCGAGCATAAGAAATATTCCCGGAACAACCGTGGACATCTTCAAGAGAAACTAGATTGTTTCCTCCAAGGAGTGCCGGACCAACCAGGCTGTGGTGGGTATGTGGGCCTGCGGGCCGCTCCAAGCAACAGCCTGGTGGACCAAACACTCACAAGTCTAGCCGGGCTTGGGGAGTAAAACAACTCCCAGAACCCCATCAAGCAAGTTCTTCAAGCAGGCATCAGGATGAAAAAAATTCTGCCCATTTGTTTCTGCTACCGCTTGGGATCGAGTCCCGGACCCTAAGACTGCGAATCCCGAGCGCTGTCCACTCAGCCGTCAGTATGGGCGGGTGTGGTGTGGGCGGGAGCACACGCCCTCCCCTTCACCCTGAGGGAGCACACGTGTGGGGTGGGTGTGGGCGGGTGTGGGGTTGGTGTGGGCGGGTGTGGGGTGGGTGTGGGCGGGTATGGGGTGGGTGTGGGCGGGTATGGGGTTGGTGTGGGCGGGTATGGGGTTGGTGTGGGCGGGTATGGGGTGGGTGTGGGCGGGTATGGGGTGGGTGTGGGCGGGTGTGGGGTTGGTGTGGGCGGGTATGGGGTGGGTGTGGGCGGGTATGGGTTGGTGTGGGCGGGTATGGGGTGGGTGTGGGCGGGTATGGGGTTGGTGTGGGCGGGTATGGGGTGGGTGTGGGCGGGTATGGGGTGGGTGTGGGCGGGTATGGGGTTGGTGTGGGCGGGTATGGGGTGGGTGTGGGCGGGTATGGGGTGGGTGTGGGCGGGTGTGGGGTTGGTGTGGGTGTAACACGGGTTAGGGTCCCTCTCTCTCTACTTATCTTATCTTCTTTACCCTCTACCCGTATTCTTAGTTTTTATTCTCTACCAAGGGACTCCAAAACTTTTACCAAAGCCAACTCCACGCCACGTGGTCCTAAGACGATTGACCGACTTAGGATTCTACACCCAGTATGACGTGACCTAGGCTCTGAACAAAACCCTAGAGTCGCCTCTACGCTGCCACCACCAGACCAGTAACACAAGAGCAATGATCGAGGTCTGGATCGATCACGCTAATTAATCAACCTAGGGGCTTGATCCCCACTATAAACGATGACCTTGAGTGTGGAATAAATTACACGGTAATGATAATTCCGATTCGATGTTAGAATCGGCGCCCAATACAACTCTGCCTCGTGTGGACCACGTGACCAGGACAAGTATACACATAACCAAATGGAAACAATAAAAATGCAAAATATTAACAAATTTAATTTATTAAAAGAAAAACTAAAACAAAATCTAAATATGTTCACTCCCTGTCACTTTAACACTCCCTACTTGACCTGAGTGGCAAATGAGAAGACTATCCCTATAATTAACAATAGCAACTATACCTCTATGTTTTCCAGCTAAGATGTTGGGCTGGTCTCGGGGAGAGGTAAGATGTTTGACCTCTCCCAGCTGCTTCCGTGACCACACTGATTTCCTCCTTGTCTGTCTACCCCAGACAGAACATTGTATTGTTCCGCCTAGTCAAAGTTTTACCAAGTTACTAGCCAGGTTTAAGTTATAACAATTAACCTCTGTTGTACTTAATTGATCCAGACTGGTTGAATTATTTTACTGAATTAAATTACAAACATCTAACGGCAGAGCTGTTCCCGATCCCCAAAATGGTTAATTGAACTTTGAGAAATACTAGACATGTCAACCCTGCTGACCTATGACCGCCGGTCACTCCGCCTTACAAGTTAGATCTGATTCGTGACGTCACTGATGGTGACTTAAACTCAATAATTAGAATACTCTTGATATTGTATCCAGTACTATTATACAATACAATTTTAATGCAAAATGAATAAAGGCTAATTTTCTCTAAATTACTGAATACTATAGGATGGTTCATTATACGCAGCTATGAACAAAGCGTCGGTTATTTCCACCGCAAATCCCCCTGGGGGTCAGGTCACCATGCGGCTCAGCTTCCCATTCTCTTTTGTCGATAAACCACTCTGGATAATTCTTACAACAGCCTAGTTTGTTACATGGGCGGGTATGGGGTTGGTGTGGGCGGGTATGGGGTGGGTGTGGGCGGGTATGGGGTGGGTGTGGGCGGGTATGGGGTGGGTGTGGGCGGGTATGGGGTGGGTGTGGGCGGGTGTGGGCGGGTATGGGGCGGGTGTGGGGTGGGTGTGGGCGGGTGTGGGCGGGTATGGGCGGGTGTGGGGTGGGTGTGGGCGGGTGTGGGCGGGTATGGGGCGGGTGTGGGGTGGGTGTGGGCGGGTGTGGGCGGGTATGGGGCGGGTATGGGGTGGGTGTGGGCGGGTGTGCTCACTATCTCTGGACGTGTGAGGTAATATGTTGCTGTGTTGCAGGTGAAGGAGACTGTTGCGCCCACGCCCCGCCCTCCTGCCGCGCCGTCTGTCACCAGGTGAGTCAGGCACGCCCTCCCCTACACCCTGGGGGAGCACACGCCCTCCCCTACACCCTGGGGGAGCACACGCCCTCCCCTACACCCTGGGGGGGCACACGCCCTCCCCTACACCCTGAGGGGGCACACGCCCTCCCCTACACCCTGGGGGGGGGGGGGCACACGCCCTCCCCTACACCCTGGGGGGGCACACGCCCTCCCCTACACCCTGGGGGGGCACACGCCCTCCCCTACACCCTGGGGGGGGCACACGCCCTCCCCTACACCCTGGGGGAGCACACGCCCTCCCCTACACCCTGGGGGGAGCACACGCCCTCCCCTACACCCTGGGGGAGCACACGCCCTCCCCTACACCCTGGGGGTGCACACGCCCTCCCCTACACCCTGGGGGAGCACACGCCCTCCCCAACACCCTGGGGGGAGCACACGCCCTCCCCAACACCCTGGGGGGAGCACACGCCCTCCCCTACACCCTGGGGGGGCACACGCCCTCCCCTACACCCTGGGGGGGGGCACACGCCCTCCCCTACACCCTGGGGAGCATACGCCCTCCCCTACACCCTGGGGGGCACACGCCCTCCCCTACACCCTGGGGGAGCACACGCCCTCCCCTACACCCTGGGGGGGCACACGCCCTCCCCTACACCCTGGGGGGGCACACGCCCTCCCCTACACCCTGGGGGGGCACACGCCCTCCCCAACACCCTGGGGGAGCACACGCCCTCCCCTACACCCTGGGGGAGCACACGCCCTCCCCTACACCCTGGGGGGGCACACGCCCTCCCCTACACCCTGGGGGGGCACACGCCCTCCCCTACACCCTGGGGGGGCACACGCCCTCCCCAACACCCTGGGGGAGCACACGCCCTCCCCTACACCCTGGGGGAGCACACGCCCTCCCGTACACCCTGGGGGAGCACACGCCCTCCCCTACACCCTAAGGGAGCTGGTCAGGGATGACCTCCAATCACTCTTGAATATTTGTACTCGCCTAGTTGTGTTTGTGGGGGTTGAGCTCTGGCTCTTTGGTCCCGCCTCTCAACTGTCAATAAACTGGTGTACAGATTCCTGAGCCTTTTTTTCATACAGTGAGAGTTATGAAAGCAGGCGGCGGGCTGTCCGCATGAGGGTTATCCTCGGACGCCGCCGTACAACTAAATTACTAAACATGAGGAAGGAACTGAACATTTCATGTGTAAGTGATCGTATCACTGAAATTAATGCTTTAATTGGTATTAAGATGCTAAGGCTTACCCACCCTAACCCCTGCACTGAAGCCCTCCAAGCCTTCTTCCTTGAAGGTCAGCATCCCTCCAAATGGATTATCAAAACTACCACTGTGCTCAGAATGTATAATATTCATCACCTCCTCCAAGACGGATAACAACGACACTTTCCTGTCCCATGGAAGATCACTCCTTTCCAAATTACTGCCCCCCCCCTCCCCTGTCCCACCCAAGAAGCTGATTAAAGAACAGGCCTTGCTGCGACAAGAAACAAAGTACAATGCCTTAAGCCAAATTGATGCTTTAGTCAGAGAGCGCTGCCTTTCCCAGATTATTTACACTGATGGATCCTTGCACCAGTACCATGGTGCAGCTGGAAGTGCAGTTGTTGTGACAGGGAGAGATGGTTCCTTCTCCCATGAGTGTGGAGCGCGTCTCAGTAACTGGGCCTCCACTCTTCAAACAGAATTGGTTGCCATAATCCTTGCACTCGAGCGCGTATATGAATCCAAAGTTGACACGCTAATTGTAAGTGACTCCTTGTCATCCTTGACTGCCCTCAGCTCCCCAAGGCATAACTGTGACGTTCTTGTCTCTGAAGCTAGACACAGATATGGTGAAATATTCAATGATGGAGTCAGAGTTTGTCTCCTGTGGATTCCTTCCCATATTGGTTTCCGAATGCATGATAGAACAGATGAGTTGGCCAAGACTTTTGCTCGTAAAGAGGGAATTGATTACCAACTTAGACTGCCTCTGAGCAGCCTGAGGGCAGCAATATCCCAGGAACATCAACTAAATTTCGGAGACTTGAGGCAAAGTGAAATTCACACCAGTTACTCCATCAATCATCATTCTATTATGCAGGAAGTACCGCACGTCTATGGGTCATCCAATAAGGTTAGCAGACTTCTAGATGTTACCACTGCTAGGCTTAGGCTCGGCTACAAGTACCTCTGGGAGTTTGTAACATCTGCTGATGTAGATCTGACTAAATGTAAACTCTGTCAGCAGAACAATTCGCATACTTTGCGTCATTATATAATGGAATGTGAACAAAATCGCGGAATTCAGAGATAACACCATCAATGGTGTCCAAGAAATGTGTAAGTACTTCATTCATAATGATGTGCTGCCAGGAATCTTAGCCAAGTATCCAAAATTTGCTTACTGTAGGTAATGCATGCACAGGACTGTAAAGCTGCCGCCCAGTTGGGTGGGTGTGGAGCACATGACTGTAAAGCTGCCGCCCAGTTGGGTGGGTGTGGAGCACATGACTGTAAAGCTGCCGCCCAGTTGGGTGGGTGTGGAGCACATGACTGTAAAGCTGCCGCCCAGTTGGGTGGGTGTGGAGCACATGACTGTAAAGCTGCCGCCCAGTTGGGTGGGTGTGGAGCACATGACTGTAAAGCTGCCGCCCAGTTGGGTGGGTGTGGAGCACATGACTGTAAAGCTGCCGCCCAGTTGGGTGGGTGTGGAGCACATGACTGTAAAGCTGCCGCCCAGTTGGGGGTGGGTGTGGAGCACATGACTGTAAAGCTGCCGCCCAGTTGGGTGGGTGTGGAGCACATGACTGTAAAGCTGCCGCCCAGTTGGGTGGGTGTGGAGCACATGACTGTAAAGCTGCCGCCCAGTTGGGTGGGTGTGGAGCACATGGCTGTAAAGCTGCCGCCCAGTTGGGTGGGTGTGGAGCACATGACTGTAAAGCTGCCGCCCAGTTGGGTGGGTGTGGAGCACATGACTGTAAAGCTGCCGCCCAGTTGGGTGGGTGTGGAGCAAGACTAGTAACTGTGTGACTCACCATAGATGTAAAGTGCCTTGTATAGTGACTGTTGTGAGCCTCTTGTTGATCACTTGTGATACAGATGATTATTGATGTGTGTACTTGTGTGGGTGATTGAATATATATGTGTATGTATATATATGTTATTAAACATGACCGAAAAAGTAAGATTAATAATTCTAACACGTATTTTCTCAGTATTTTTTATGTTTCTTTTTACTGTCGATGGTAATTGAAAAATCAGTTCTCCAAAATTCATTTTTATTACTAGTCTGACGCAACGCTTGAACGCGTTTCGTAATAACTTATTACATTTTCAAAGACTTTAGTTTACACACACAACTATAACTGAACAGAGTTCAAACAGCTTCGATTTTATACTTGCATTTGGGTGAGGTGATATGTTACAACAGTTTTGGATGAGGTGAAAACAAACTTTCAACACAAGACAGAACAAGAAACAATGGGTATAATATTTTGTAAGTTAAAGGGAAGAATGGAAGTAACTGCAAAGGGCCTATTGGCCCATATTTCTTGATGCTTCTATATTGGTGCGGAGTCTTGAAGTGGGTAGAATATAATTGTGCATTAATTGGCTGTTGATTGCTGGTGTCGTCTTATTAATGTGTAGTGCCTCGCAGATATCAAGCCGCCTGCTATCGCTGTATCTATCGATGATTTCCGTGTTTTTTGTTAAGACTTCTCTGGTGATGGTCTGGTTCTGGGAAGAGATTATATGTTCCTTAATGGAGCCCTGTTGCTTATGCATCGTTAATCGCCTGGAAAGAGATGTTGTTGTCTTGCCTATATACTGAATTCTTTGAGGCTTACAGTCCCCAAGTGGGCATTTGAAGGCATAGACGACATTGGTCTCTCTTAAAGCGTTCTGCTTTGTGTCTCAAGGTACACTCCTTGAGGCACTGCTTTTCCTTATTCTCATATCAGATATAGAGAAAAATACAAGTCACAGCTTCGTATCATCCTTTGCAGATGACAAAAATCAGCATAAAAATTACCTCTGCTGAAGACACTGAAAAACTTCAAGCAGATATTAATAAAGTTTTCGACTGGGCAACAAAATAACATGTTTACCAGTGATAAATAGCAGGTACTCAGGTACGGTAAAAATGAGGACCTTAAACATAATACAGGGTACAAAACACAATCAAATGTGCCCATAGTAGGAAAGCAGCATGTAAAGGATTTGGGAATAATGATGTCTGACGACCTAACGCTTAGGGAGCATAACCAAGCAAATATTGCGACAGCCAGAAAAATGATAGGATGGATTACGAGAACTTTCAAATCCAGGGATCCCATCACAATGGTTGTACTATACAAATCACTTGTACTATCTCGTCTTGAGTACTGCTCAGTACTCACTTCCCCCTTCAGAGCAGGAGAGATTGCTAGAGGAGATTGGAGAGGATATATATATATATATATATATATATATATATATATATATAACTTTTTAGACACTCAACCCACCAGGGGACTCGAACACTGGCCAACAAGGTGGCAGTTGCATGCTGTATCCACTACGCTATACTTCAAATTGACCTAATACATAATGCTTTGAAGTATAGCGTAGTGGATACAGCATGCAACTGCCACCTTGTTGGCCAGTGTTCGAGTCCCCTGGTGGTTGAGTGTCTAAAAAGTTATAAACTTCAGCTACTGGAATAGGGTAGTCTGTGCATTATATATATATATATATATATATATATATATATATATATATATATATATATATATATATATATATATATATATATATATATATATATGTCGTACCTAGTAGCCAGAACGCACTTCTCAGCCTACTATGCAAGGCCCGATTTGCCTAATAAGCCAAGTTTTCATGAATTAATGTTTTTTCGACTACCTAACCTACCTAACCTAACCTAACTTTTTAGGCTACCTAACCTAACATATAAAAATAGGTTAGGTTAGGTTAGGTAGGGTTGGTTAGGTTCGGTCATATATCT